CTACGTGTAGGCCCACTCATCATCTTCAAAAAGGATGGAAATTTAGTCTCTCTCAAATCTTTATTCGTGTCCTCACACACAGAAATAAATTCTAAACATAAGACCTCCCTCTTTAGGACTCACACTCCTTAAAATACAATATAAAAATAAAAGTAACAGAATTTCCTCTTCTTTCTCAAATCTTTAAAGAAATACTCTGTCAATAAATTAACCACAAACTATATTTCAAGGAAAAACCCAGTGCAGAATCTGGGGAAACATCTCCGGGATGAGGAGCTGCTGAAAGTGTTGGAGTATGGTACCCGTGTAGAGGTGGTCCATAGAAAACAGAAAGGGACAATGGAGAACTCCTGGAACATAAGCACTCTCTCTGTACTTCTGTTTCTGTGAGCTTTGGCACCAGATGTCTATATATTTGGATCATGGCTCTGTCAGATACTACCTGTGTGACACTAGGCAAGCAACTTAAATTCTCTGGATCACATTTTTCACATCTATAACAAAAGAAATGTAATATTTTATGGAAAAGTTTTTGAAGATTAAATGAAAAGTGCATAAAGTAATTATAAAGCACAATCCATTTTATGTAGTATTTGTATTTCATAAAAGTACTTTAAATGTTTATAATTTAATAATATGGTTATTTTTCATTTTATTTACATATACAGTAACAGTCTATGTCAAGTGATACTACTTTTCAATTTTTTGTAGTAATATAAACTTTCAATTAAAAATAATTACTTAAGTTAAAGCAAGTGATTCAATTTTAATAACTATATTAACGAGCAACAGAGTTGCAGTGCAAACAAGCCAAGAATCCTAAAGGTGCCATATGAATGACTCAGATGTGGAAAGTGCCACTCTATATTATGCTATGATAAGAACTGTACCATGCAGGATGCCACAGAAAAACAAATCCAAATTTTGTCCCTGTAATACCTCACAGCTCCCTGGAAGGGTTTACTTGGTAAATGAGACATAGAAATAACATATATAATATCTTTTTAAAATACCATCTACTATACTAAATCCACATTGGAAAGTGTGGTAGTAATGGAAGGTTCTCTTGTTAGAGTTGCTTACCAAAAACCCATTATTTCAATAAGCATTCAATGATGCCTACCAAGTTTCAGGCCTTGTTCTGGATGTTGAATATGTAAAAACCAACGCAATGTATTCCTTGCCATCAAAGATCTTAAAGTCAATTGGAGATGGGAGGAAGCAGACACAGAAACATAAAAGCTCAACCAAAGGCAGGAAATGCTGAATTATAAGTCAGGGCAGGTCCCAGTGAGAAACCAAATGAAGGACACAGAGGAAGAGGAGTCCAGGAAATATGTCAAGATGGCATGGCCACAGAAATAGAACAAAAACATGACAGAGTAAAAATGCTCACCTGTACTTGACAATTCCATTGATCAGTGGGTTCACATCCACAATTCTGTTGATATAAGCCTGAATAACGTCTATGCATTTCACCTGAAAAATGCAATAATTTATTTAGCAAGTATTTAGTGAAGAACTATTTTTCCATTCAACAAGTATTTAACAAAAACCTCCTATGTGCATTAATCACTTTTTACTTAGGACATCTTCAATGAATTATCCAGTGCACTCCACTGTGAGGAGGTAAAATATGTCTACTTTGGAGCTAAAAAGTCATAAATATACCAGTATTAGAAGGCTCTGAACAATGGGTAGAGAGAAAAGACATAAACTCCCCTCCAAGTAAATAGAAATTGGAGTCCAGAAATATTACTTATATATACTCAAATAGTAAATATTTTTTTAATTTTATTTTTGTTTAAAATATTACAGATGTCCCTTTTTCTCCCCAATGACCCGTTCCACCCCATCCCATCCCCTGCCCCAGTCCCTCTCCCCAAATATTTTTCTAGTAAATAACTAGTATAATGGCAGATACCATTTTATAATAATACCCTGCAACTTAACATTATACATCATCTTTGCAAAATCCAGGAGTCGAGGAGTGGAGACAAAGGACATTAAGGCACAGTTTCCAGATCAAATAAAGGACACCAAATTAAATTATAATTTCAGATGAATAATGAAAAATTTTAGTATAAGTGGGTCCCAAATATTGCATGGGGATAATTTTACTAAAAATCATTCATTGCTTATCTGAAATTAAAATTAAACTTGGTGTCCTGTATTCTTTTTTTCTAAATCTGGCAACCCTAGACCAGCCAAGGGTCTTAGTTTAAGAATGTGAGAAGGGGTAAGACAAGTAAAACACCTGGGAGGGTGTTAAGGATTAAAATTTATTTATTATACACAATTATAGTTTTAATGATAATTCTTATACACGGGACAATAAGCAATAGGAAATTAAAAAGCAAAGTAAAACACCCAAATATAAAGGCAAGAAAAAGGAAATGAAAAGAAACTAGATCAAGCCAGAAAAAAGTAAGGGAAGGGAAATGAGAAAGTAAGTATAATAAATTGTAAACATTGTATCAAATGTGTTACCAGGGCAGAAAGCCCCAGATGCCAAGCAAGAGGCAAACTGGGAAAACAAGAATTTTGTCCCTAGGGGAACCTCGCCTCCCCTACCTTATTGCTGGTCATGCAGTTTAGGCCTCCAGAGCGTTTCCTCCCTAAAGATAACATCTAGCCCTCAGTTGTATTTCAGCTCCAGGCCCAGGAAAGCAGCAAAACCAGACAAGTGGCTCCCTGGCTGCCTCATGACCAGCTACATTGACTAATGATTCCCTGCCCTGGCAACGACCAATCAGTGGAGACCACGACCTTGAAAGAGCACACCTAGAAAGCTGATGAATATTCTATTGAGATACTTCCCTGAGACCTCCCCTAAGATTCCGACCTGCAAGAAGAGATAAATATGCTCAGAACAAAGGACTCTGTGCATGCTCCCCACCAGGGGAGTACATCAACGCCATCTCCTTCCCCTTTCTTCCCTCCAAAGGACCCCACAAGAGTTGAAACCAGAGGAGCAAAATGGGCAGTGGCAGCTCATCCTAGGCTTAGCTCCCAAACCTGTCTCCATGGCCCTCTTTTCTCTCTGACTTCTCAGTGAGCCAAAGCAGTCCAGCCAAGGCTCTCCTATTATTTCCTCTATGCACCTTTCTTATTTCACTGTTCTAAGTATATTTTTGCTGCCATCATAGACCCAATACCCTTTGACTCAGTGCTGTGTAGCCCTTCCCTTTGGATACCCCCATCTCCTTTTCCTTAAATAAATTTAATTTTTCTTTATTCACCATCTGAGATGGCTATTTAGCATACCTCCACACCACTGACCTTGACTTTTCAAAATGGAAGGAATTAAAAAAATTATATCATAATAAGTAAGAACTGAATTCCTCTACCAGAGGGCAGACATCAAATTTGGTTTAAAAAAAAAGCTCAGCTCAGCTATACATTGTTTACAAGACATTCACCTGATACAAAGAGATAATGAAAGGGTAAAAATAAAAGAATGGGCAAAGATATATGAAGTAAATGCAAACAATAAAAAAGCACTTGTGATACCATTAATATCAAACAAAACAAATTTCAAGACTGAAACATTGGGGGCAGAAATGTTGATCATGCTCTGTTGGCTGTGATTGTGAAAGCGGAGACGGCCCCTAATAGGAACAGGACCATAGGTGTTTAATGATTATTCATTTTACTAACTATAGATAAGAAGTTTTCTTACAGACCCTGGAAAACTGGAAGATGTGCTGCAAGAAGAAAAACAGAGCTGTAAAAAGATGAGACACGTTGGGGCTTGGATGGGTTCATTGCTCAGAAAAGAAAATGCATTTTGAGAACACACAAAGGACAGGATACACTTTGATTTGCTGCTATGCATGGAGCCTGACCCACTCTGGGTGTTTGTCTCAGGAATGCTGACCATTCTCAGGTCCCAGGAGCTGTTTTTTAACACCACTGAAAATTAACTACCTTGTTATCAGACTTCAAGATCCTGGAAGGAGACACATGGACCACACACCCTGCAGCCATCCTCCTCCTCACTCTCCCATTCCCCCTTACATGTAGCCTTTCTTCCTTACCCCTATAAAATTGGCCAGCTAGTAAGGGGAGAAGAGAGCAGATTTTATGTAGACAAATCCTTCTGCTCTCCTCGTATTGCTGGCATTATTGGAATAAACATATATGATTCAACCTTTTCTCTGCTTAATTGGCTCAAGTGGTGAGAGGCAGACTGGACCCACTGTGTCAGGTTTCAACATGAAATGTTACAATCCATTAAAATAATGTAACAGACATATGATTTTTGTTTTTGTATTTAAAAAGCAGGCAAATATATACAGCATTAACTCCTAAGAATATAAAGAGAACTTGACCAGAAATACAAATATAGTAACAGACAATATAACTCTTTCAGACATTGATAAATTAAGTAATCAAAAATAAGTTATATCCAGGAATTTAATAATACAGCCAGTATATTCAAGGACATACAGAGAACTTTTATTTCATCAAGAAAAATACTCTTTTTGTTCATGAATCATAAACAGAAAATGATAATGTATTTATTAATCACAAAGAAAACCATAAATCACAAAAGGTACTAACAGTTCATATCAATTAGGTCAATCATCATAAACCAGTAATTCTAGAAAACCAAAGTAAGAAAAGGATCATTTTAAGAAGGCTTAACTATTTCAAAAAACACCTTTCCACATAACCAATGGGTTTAAGAGGTAAACAAAATTAAAACTGAAAATTATCCAGAAGTTCACAAAAAGAGGAACATTTCTTATCAAAACCTATGGAATACAGCTAAAGCTGTTCTAACAAGGACAATATAAGCTATGAAACTTAAAATAATAGGGCAATAAAGTAAATAAAAATGAAAATTTCAAAAAATGAGATGAAAAATTAAAAAATTTAAAAAGGTATGAGGAAATAAAGATAAAAATTAATGACAGAAAATGGTAAAGTAACAACAATGAATCCAGTTTAAAAGGATGAGTAAGAGCGCTCAGACACAGTGGAGTGGAGACAGAGGAGATGGTGTCCCAGCTGCTGCCTCCCTCGAAACCCTGGGAGACCCGCAGGATTCCGGAGACTGGGCTGGGGTCAGTTCCCAGCCCTGCTTTTCAGATAGTCTGCTATATAAAAGCAAACTGTTGGGAGATCCAAGATGGTGGCAGATTGAGTGGAAGCTACACTGACACTCTCCTAGAACCAAACTGGAATTACAACTTAAATATAAAAAAACATCCTGAATAATCAACTGCAACTGAAGACTAGCTGGGGGACATCTTCATAACTGAGGATGAAAAGTTGAGACCCCAAAGAGAGTGGTAGGAAGTACGGAGGTGTGAGAAGGCTGGCTGGGCTCCCAAAGGCAGCAGCTAAAGGTCCTGAGGGATATCTCAGCTGTGGGTGGTTCCGACTGAGAACTCTGCAGTCTAAACCCCAAGGTGGGCTTCCCAGTCCAGAGCACCAGAACTGAGAAAGGTGCCCATATAACATCTGGCTGTAAAAAGCAGCAAGGTTTCTATCTTCCAAGGAGAGACGGGGGGAAATGCAGGCACCCCCTTAAAGGCCCAATGCACAAAGTTTCATGTGCAGCCACTCACGTTGGGTTCTAGTGGAAAGAAGGCAGAGTGGACTACAGCAGTATGAGGAGAATCCAGGAGGACTGGCTGGGGGAACAGATCTCAGAGGGCACCCATCTGAACCCTGGTACTGAGTCATTTCCCCACACTGCAGAGGACGTCTTTCTCAGGCAGACATTTACCTTCCAAGCAGCTTTTGCTTGGGGTGGAAGCAATTACCCTACCCTGTTGGAAAACCTCTGGCCTCACACCATGGAGTTTCTACAGCCTGAGGCTCATCAAGAGACTGAATAACAGCCTCTGGGCGCTGTGAGTCTTTGCTTGATTTGCTTCTGGACCTAGGACTTGGAAAGCAGACCTTCATGCACATCTTGGTCCTGTTCAAACACACACAGCCGCAGCAGAGGAAACCAGAATATGTGGAATGTGGAAAACTCCAAACAGAGTACTCAAGGCCGGTCATAAACAGCATCTGACATTGGCCAGCACCAGAGACCATCTAAAAGACTGGTAGTCTTAGATGATCGACCTAATACACAGAAACAAATCCAAACAGGCAGCCAAAATGGGGAGACAAAAAAACAAGCCCCAGATGAAGGAACAAAAGAATTCTCCACAAGAAGAGCTTAATCAAATGGAGATACACAATCTATCAGATATAGAGTTCAGAATATTGATCATAAAGATGCTCAACAGCATGAAAAAGGAGATACAAACTATGAAGGAAACTAAAAATAACACAGTAAAAATTTTAAAAATTGGAAGGAAGGAACAACAGATTAGAGGAAGCTGAGGATCAGATCAGTGAATTAGAAGACAGGTAAAAAAATCACTCAATCAGAAAAAGAAAAAACAATTAAAAAACAGGAGAGCAGTCTAAGGGAGCTGTGGGACAACATGAAATGTAACAATATTCGCATC